ACACGCATCGTCTCATGAAGTGACACCATCGTCTCATGAAGTGACACCATCGTCCCATGAAGTGACACCATCGTCTCGTGAAGTGACCAACACGCATCGTCTCATGAAGTGACCAAAGTATCTTCCTCCAACCGCCTAAAGACGCGATGGCCTCCACCGTGCGTAGCGTCCTTGTTACTACAAGCATTCTCAATCAGGAGCAAGTTTGATATCCACATGGCAGCTGTTTGATCATACAGTTGTCTCCATCGACATCCATGTTTTCTATTTGCCAGTCAGAGCCTACAGCTCATGGCTTTACGCAAAGTAAACCGCTGAATCGGGAGTCCGCCCAATCAGCTCCATCCGCTCTTCAACTCCGGGTCAGGCCGACTCCACGTGCAAGGGGGAGTGTGTTTCAAACAGAAGGTGTGCTGGTTTTGTGCATGCAAAGGCACTGGTGACCAGTCGAAACACACTTTGTGGCCTTCACGAAACATGGACCATTTGCATCTGAATTCTGAAAACAAACGCTTGAACAAATACGGTTTTCAGCAAGTCTTCCTGTGATGCCACCTAGTGACTTTGTTTTCTCAAGCTGTTCTTCTTCCCAGTCTCTTCTTCCTGCTCTCTTCTTCCCAGTCTCTTCTTCCCAGTCTCTTCCTCCCAGTCTCTTCTTCCCATTCTTTTCTTCCCAGTCTCTTCTTCCCAGTCTCTTGTTTGCAGTCTCTTCTTCCGATTCTTCCCAGTCTCTTTTTCCAAGTCTCATCTTTCAAGTCTCTTCTGCCCGTCATATGTTTCTTCTCATTCTTTTCTTATCATTTCTTCCCAGTCCCTTCTTCCCAATCTCTTCTGCCCTGTCTCTTCCTCATTTTGTGTGTTAATTTTGTTTAAAGCAATGCATGGAAACATTTATAAACAGAGCGTTCTGTGTACTGGTCACGGCATGACCGACACACCATGACAGACATGCATGCTAATGGCTTCTACCATTCGTTCCCAGCCGAAAAGGGCTTTTTCGCCGACTCAACCGGATGCTTCTCATATGGGTGTTTCCTGAAATAGGGGTACCCCAAAATGGATGGTTTTGAGAGGAATTCCCATTAGAATTGATGATTTGGGGGTACCCCTATTTTCGGAAACACCTATATTCCAAAGGCATCCAAAGGCTTCATACGGTTCACTCCTCCTCCACGTGGTTTTCGATGCCATTTGCGCTGGCGTAATACGCTGCTTGGACCTGACATGATGCATACACTGGGCAGGTACAGTGGCTTCGGAGAAGATGACACAACCCCCAAGATCACTTTTGGATGTTTAAACCACCTTGATCTTGCCAAACTCAGTGTAGTGAACATTGTGCACAACGGTCCTGAACATTCCTCAAGCTACGCGGCTACGCGTCTTAGTCGAAGCTAAGCTAATGTCACACTCGTCACAATGAACAGATTTGGCTATTCTTCCTTGGCTCGTGGCTTTGGATTGTCAAGTCCCCTTGCAAGCTTGGTGAGTGAGGAGGACGCGCGCCTAGTCCACCGTGGCTTTCCACTCAGTTGATCTTTTCTTCCAACATTCGACTGTTTGTTCAAGGGTGGCACCCCATGCCTCAGCATCCACCATTGCCTTCATTCAAATCAGGTTGTGATGACGTTCATATGCCCAACTGTTCTTCACCCCGCCTTCCTCAGCTACCAGCTGCTCCTAACATTTTGTGTGCATAATATATGGAAACCCCATGAAACCCCGATGCCTGCCAAACAAACTGGCATTTCCAGGAGGTCCAATGACCAATGAGGCTCCTCATCATACGCATGCTTACTGAGCGATGTTTTGCCAAGCTGTTTCAAAGAAAGCATTTGCCAAGCCTGAGCACAGTCATTGCGATCAATCATTCGAACCATGTGTCTCCCGGCACCGTGTTCGTTTTTGCTTGGCACGGCCGCTGGCACGGCCCTCCGCTCCCGTTGCCGAAAGCTCATGCCCGAGCTCGTTTTGGTACGAGCTCGTGTTCCGTCCTTCGTGGAACGGGATCCCGAACCACCCCCCTGTGCCCATGCACCGTCACCGTCCCACAGCACGGAGGACCTGCGGTTGGAGGGCCTTGGGGTGGCGATGCTGGAGATGCAGCTGGACACAAGGGAATCCCATGAGCTGGGCTACGGCTCCTTGAAGGGCCTCACCGCCGCTCGGCGCTGGTATGTGCGTGCGAACACAGTGGTGTGGTGGTGAGGAGGTTTTTAGCGAACGAAACGCATTGGAATGGCAGACTAGTGTTTGATGTGCGTTTTTGGGGCTGGCGGAGTTTGGGTGGTTGAAGAGTGTGATAGGACTGGGTGGCGGGGATTTTGCAAGATGTGGTCTGTCGCGGCATCTGCCATCCCAAGTTCCTTCGCGACTTCATAATGATTTTTTTTTTTTTTTTTCGGTGGTAATCATGAGGTGCCAAATGTCTTTACCCTTCTCCACCGTTCAACTGGCTCAAAGACTGGACTAAATCATGAAGCATGAGCATGATGAACGAACCGGAAGGTTTGACCGGTTTGAACGTTGGGAGAGGAATCAAACAGCTAGGTATTCCAAGGCCGTCTGAATCAATCGCTGAGCAGCATCAAACCGGTGTTTCTCTCTTCAGGTGATCCGTTTTGTTGCGACATCTCTTCCTTAGCTTCATCTCCTAAATATGTATCGCAGACGTCAATTCTATTTGTTTGACCGACTGAAGGAAGTTCCCGGAAATCGGGGCGCACATCTTTTTAAGTACCCAGACCAGCCATGCATGTGTTCTTTATGGCTACGTTGACCGACATGTTCAGCCAAGCACCCCTGCCCTGATCGGTACGTATCAGCACCTTCATGACGGGGCACCTGGCTGGTTTCGCCCCAGCCCACTAGGAATCCGGGACCTCCAGCCAGGACACCCTGGGTTCAGAAGGTCCAGGTCTGGGTTCGTCAGTCTGAAGATCTCCGTGGGGTATGTGGAGATGAGTCACTACCTGCAGGGTCTCCTGGGTCCACCCTTGGCCGCGGACGACAGAGACACCAGGGAAAAACCGGGTCGGTTCTCGTGGTGCCAATGAAGAGCATTTCCACTTCAACAGGGGGCTGTTATTAATCTAAGAGTCTACATTGCCCTACAAGTCACTTCGACCTCATTTTTGTGGAGGTAGAAGACCAGGTTTGACTGGGTCCTGGACGGTCCGTAGGGACCCCCATGTGTTCCGTTCGAGAAAACGGTTTCATCGACCAGGCGACGGACGAAACGCGCACAGGTGAACCGCCACCGGACAGGTGAACCGAACGCGTTTCCTTCCGCCCCCCCGATGTTCGGAATGAATGGGATTCGAGTTGAGCGCCCGAATGGGTTTCCGGAGGCCCCAAAAAGCGCGGCTTCCCAGGGGCCTCCTCGTTACAACAGGGCCGTTTGGGGTCACCGGGAGCCCGGTCTTGGGCTTCGCGGAGGTTCAGCTGCGGCAAGTGGCGGCCAAGACGGACGTGGACGGCCGGGGCGGGTCGCTCTGGGTGGATTTGAAGCTGAGAAGCGCCCATTTGGACGCTGGGTTGGAGGGCGAGGGCCTGGGTTTGGGTTCTTTTCGGGGTAGATGGGTCGGCTGGGAAGTTGTACGAGAGGACAATTTATACATTATATACAGAAAAATAAAGAATTGAATATATATATATATAAACTGTATATAATGAAATTCAACTTCTAAGTGGATGAACATTTTCTGCCATCCGAGGCGGCACAGCGCCGGACATTGTCACTGATTCAAAGACATTGGCCATTAGGATGGTTGGGGAATTGCTCCAGACCCACCCCATGATTCTAACTTTCAAACTTGGAGCAAATCGCGCGAACGCCAGATCACCAGCGAGTTTGCTGCGAATTCTTCGTTCCCCGGATGATACACTGCACTTGGAATCAGGTGATCAAGAGCTTAATTGCGAACTTTCCGATTCCATCTATGTATGGTAGCCGCAAATCAGGATAGAACATGATACAAACAAGTTGGAGTATCGGATCCCGTTCTTGATTCCGAGACTACCAAAGGAACCAGTGATCCACACCATGCAGTGGGCAGTGGGCAACGATTAAGATACGTTCTTTTTTATGGATCTCCATGTAAGGCATATTAAGACTACGCTATGGATCGCTATAGAGCATGAAGCAATCAATTGAATTCTTCAAACAGAACACGAATAAAACCACGGATGGATGACGACGGATGACCCCGGATCTGTGGATTCTATACATCCCTCCACCTCCAAGTACCTCCTCCGAAGGTCTTTGGACCCTCCTGGCACCCACCCCAGTCCCACCTTCTCAGAAGGTACGACTGGAGGCCTAACGGGTGTGGGACTCTTCTCTTGAAGAATGACCAATCGGCCTGGCAGTGGGCCCCAGTCTTCCCACTCCGGGGCGGAACCGCAGAGGTTGGGGGCCTCTGGGAGCATCGAGATGGGGGATCCACTCCCCACACGGACGTTCGTGCCTGTGCCATTTTGCGCAACACACTGTGCAGAAGACACCGAAACCGCCGCCGTGCCCAGGATGTGGGGACTGGCGATCTGAAGCACCAAAGCAGCTGGAGATCAACGATCGGCGGGGGTGCGTGATCTCGGTCTGAGAGGTTTCCGATCTGACCTGCTCAAGGTCAGACGCCCTCCAGTCTGACCCAAGCTGGTGTTTGACCTCATTGAGTCATGTATGATCAACTCCAGTAAAATGAGGTCTTTGACCTGCAGGGAGAGAGTCCGGGAATGGATTTTAAGGAGGTTCCCTGAGCATCGGTTATTGATTACAATCAATATTCTCCTAGGTTTTTTCAATTGATTTTGTTTATTGTTTTTTTTTGATTTGGAAGTAAAGTCTCTGTTTGAATATCTATGTGTGTTTGATTGATTTGTTTATTGATTTTGTTATTGAATTGGGGTTTGAATTTTCTATTGATTTTGGGTTTGATTTTGTGGGGGGCAGTTGTAGGGGCTGTTGGGAGATCCTTGTGCACTGATCATGTCTTGTGGCCTTTTGTGGCCCAAGCCCTATAGCACAGCTACTTTTGCACCCTTGGGAAAGGGAAGCAATATAGGAACCCCTTGAGAGAGGGATGTCGAGGGGTGGGGCAAGACACTTTGCCAAACCAATGATAGAAACTGGTCTCATCTTTGATATCTTTTTCAGGCATGAGGACCTGATAAGGAATTTTGGGAGCTATGAAACACTGAGCACCCAGTCAGCTGTGGACCCAAAGGGGCTCATACACAACCTACCCTTGGTGGAAGACATTCTTGAAATTGCTCCCTCATGTGAGATACATCCACAACCACTCAGGAATGCTTTGGTCAGGCTCCTGACTCAAAAGCCAATGCTTAACACAGGAAGATTCAATGGAGGTGTGCGGAGCCACCAAAGATCAGAGAGAGTTTGTGTCCTCCTGTCCCATATCAGGAGGTTGGCCAGGCAAGGTTGCAATAGCAAGTGTGTTCAGATGTTGACAGCCTTGGAGTACAAAAAGCTGGCAGACACCTTGGAAAAGGTGGATCTCAAAGGATCCCAGGGTGAACCCTTGCCAAAGGGAGAAGAAGAAGAAGAGCACAAGGGAGAGCCCAGCAAGAAGAAACTAAAACACAACACCAGTGATGTTTCCCTGGACTCACAGGGCTTCCCTTTGGAACTGAAGACACCTGAAGCTCAGAAGAAGAGCTGTTCAGCAAAACCTCCAGGCCCCCCCAAGGCTTTTGAACAAGAGAGTTGGCCAAAACAATGCTTTGGAAGAAGCCAAACATGACCCAAGCTTCAAGCAGGCTTTGGGGATGGTACCTGGAAAAGCAGCTGAGGGGCCAAAGAGAAGGCCAGCAGCAGCAATGAAGAGACCTGCTGCTTGAGAAGCTATTGCACAGGGTGATCCTGACAGGCGACCATGGCTGAAGATCACAAAAACTTCAGCCAAAAACCCAGAGAGGAGCTACTTGTGTGGGACCAAAGAGAAGGGAGGAAAATGCAAGCTCATTGTTGAAGTGAGCAAAAAAAGGAGCAACAGGTATGGGCTGATCATTGGGAAGATCAAAGAAGCCTTGGAGAAGAAACACTTGACCAAAGAAGAAGCAGTGCAAATGAGGGAAGAACTCTGCAGCAAGTGAAGGTGTTCTCCCAGCCCTTGGTAAAGGGGAACCCCTTCAAAAAGGGGTCAAGGCCAAAACAGTTGAGCAAAGGTATTCCTTTGAAAAAAGGGAGCATCCTTTGCAAAAGGGAGCATCCTTTGCAAAAGGGAACATCCTTTGAAAAAGGGAACATCCTTTGAAAAAGGGAA